ATTTTAAGGAAACTCATGGAGGTTCCTATTCTAGATTTGTACCCAAGAATTTGATTATTTACAATTTGGTCCAAAATTTTAAATAAATTTTGTCCAAAAAGTTAATATAGTGTAAAGGTGTACCCGCACCGAACCGGACCGGACTCGAACACGGGCACGGGCAGAAGTAATAGAGTGACATTAATGAATCCAATAAACCTCAATGAAGTAATAGAGTTTGTACTGGTAGAATAAATAGTTTAGGATATGATGAGATTGGTTTTTCACTTATTTCTATCTACTTAGTAGAAGGAAGTAGGATAACTGTTATTAGAAAAATTCCATTTATTTCTCAAGCTGAAAATGACCCAGAACATGTATGGGGATGGCAAAAATACATGTCTAACCCGATACCTGTGGAGCCCCATCTCGAACGGGGTGGGGATTACCCGATTAATCGGATAATCAAATTGGGTACGGGGCGAGATCGAAACCTGCAGTGCCCTTGTCGGTTATTCCATCCAGACCGACCTCAAAGTTTCCGAACTTGCCACCATTTTGTCTGTCAATCTTATTTCTCTCCTCCTTGTCAATGCCATCGACATCTCCTACCCTGACGTTGAAAATCACATCATGCACTCAATAATAATAATAATAATAATAATAATAATAATAATAATAAGTAAAAGGATTGGTCTGGGCCCAAGGTTCATCTGCCTTAATATTTCATTCAATTTTAAATGGTTTTCGATAAATAAATATATCACGTTAATCATCTCGCGAAATAGAACGTGAATATGCTATGTCCCGTATTAATTAAAAGGTGGGTCCCACTGAAATTTGAGCTCAAAATTGACCCATTTCATAACCATTTTTCCAACAATAACATCATCAATGATCACCAATGCACATTCATTTGCGATGACATATGACAATGATTGTCGTCCATGACGTCGTCGATAATCATCGACGATACTTCAGTCTTTGATGACCGACGAATAAGTATTTATTCCTTATTCATTTTTTTAACATGCAATCAATAATTTAAACTCCTATTGGGTAGAGAATCTTTAAAATTCATTTTTACTCCAATCATTGTCAACTATATATTCTTCAAAAATAATTTTGCACGTAAATTCATAAATTTTACTTACTTTTTAATCATATTTTATCAATATTTGCAAAATCTAATCTTAAAAATTCTACATCAAACAGAATCTAATTTATATCATTTTTTCTTTTACATGTCACCGTCATGCATCGACTACCGATTTATTGAGGTCATCGGCAATCACCGACGGTGCTTTGGTCGATGATTGCCAACAAATAAGCATTTATCACATTTTTTAATATTTCATTAATAATCTAGGATTTATTCATAACTTGTATTCATAATTTTTTTAATTATCAAGGAAATTTTCGTTATTGATATTAAAGTTTATATTTTAATTACATTATCTATTGATGGAATCTCCGCAGGTAAATTCAGTTTTTAGAAATATTGACATCATGAATGAAATCGGGCAAATTGGACAAATGGTGCCCATTCCTCCTAAGTATGACATGGTTAGCATTGCTCTACAAGGAATCGGGCATGTCTTTGGTCTTGGGCATCCAAGTGTTAGAGAAGCAATTATGTACGCTTATATGGACGACAAAAAGTGTTTTTTTTTTTGTTTTTTTTAATTCAAGGGTCCGAGTTTCGCAGCCTTTCCTTAAAATCAGCCAATCAGGTAAATCCGAATGTGGTCACAGCTTATACACATTTGGGCCGGACATCCAGGATGTGATTCTCCTCCTTGTGGACCTCTCTTTATGACGTGCGGATTGGATCCTCAGAAAAACAACAAAGCGCACTATAACTTTGCCTCCATCGGACATTTACCTTCCAACATAAATGTTGCCTTCCAGCTACCGCAAGGATTCGAACCTCCGACATTCCGTAAAGAACCCTCCTACTTTACCACTGCATCATGCCCGTGGGTACAGGTCCAAAAAAGTTTGCACCCATATGAATGTCTAACTTTATGCATACATAATGAATGTCTAACTTTATGCACACATAAATTTATGATTATGTGTGATATAGCGTACTATCTAAGGTTGTCTGTGTCTACATTGGCATTCAATGGTGCCACGTGATTTTTTGGATTATCTTTCCAGCCGAGTAACCATTAAAAACTTGAGTGAGCAGTACTGTAAGAAAATACTTCTATAATCATTTTGAAATTCGTAACAAACTTGAATGACTCATTGTAAAATTAACTCGAGTAGTAAATGTCTAATAATCAAATAAATTGTTGATGTATACTTGTTGATTTTTTTAGCACCTATACATGATATTTATCTTCACCAAGTGGATATAAAAACGACTTTCTTAAATGGATATCTAAATGAGGTATATATGAAACAATCAAAAAGGTTTATTTTACTCGAAAATGAGAATAAAGTATGTAAAGCTTAAGAAATCTTTAAAATGAGCGCCTAAACGATGACATGAAAATATTGATTCAACAATTGTATCTTATGATTTTATTAATAAAATTGTTCGTAAACGCTTATATTTTAAAGCATGTGATGAATATTTGATCTTTGTATCTAATCTTGGCTAAATATGTCAAACTTTGCTAAATTTATATTCAGCGAAGTTTCCATATGAAATATTTAATAATAAGAAATTCTCCATTTCCACCAACTATTTAACAAAAATTTCCATCTGTAATGCCTCGGGCCATCTTTGTATAAATACATGGGTTTCTCAGCAAATATATATTAATGAAATATTTTAGCCTTTAACACTTTCCACTTTCTTGTTCATCCTATTGATGTGTAGCTCTTTTGAGTTTGAATTTCTCGAAAACTTCGAGGGCGATGGTAAGGGTGATCACGGACTCGATAAATTAAAATAATCGCTGACATTATTATCGATGATACATGACGAAAAGAGTACCAATTTTGATGGAATTATTGACAAAATCATCAGTGATCACCAATGCACGTTCATTTGCGATGACATATGACAATGATTGTCGTCCATGACGTCGTCAACAATCATCGACGATACTTCAGTCTTTGATGACCGACGAATAGGTATTTATTCCTTATTCATTTTTTAAACATGCAATCAATAATTTAAACTCCTATTGGGTAGATAATCTTTAAAATTCATTTTTACTCCAATCATTTTCAACTATATATTCTTCAAAAATAATTTTGCACGTAAATCCATAAATTTTACTTACTTTTTAATCATATTTTATCAATATATGCAAACTCTATTCTTAAAAAATCTACATCAAACAGAATCTAATTTGTATTATTTTTTCTTTTACATATCACCGTCATGCATCGACTACCGATTTATCGATGTCATCGGCAATCACCAACGGTGCTTTGGTCGATGATTGCCAACAAATAAGCATTTTTCACATTTTTTAATATTTCATTCATAATCTAGGATTTATTCATAACTTGTATTCATAATTTTTTTAATTATCAAGGAAATTTTCGTCATTGATATTAAAGTTTATATTTTAATTACAGTACCTATTGATGAAATCTCCGTAGGTAAATTAATTTTTTAGAAATATTGACTTCATGAATGAAATCGGGCAAATTGGACAAATGGTGCCCATCCCTCCTAAGTATGACATGGTTAGCATTGCTCTACAAGGAATCGGGCATGTTTTTGGTCTTGGGCATCCAAGTGTTAGAGAAGCAATTATGTACGCTTGTATGGACGAAAAAAAGTTCCAAAAAAGTGTTTTTTTTATTCAAGTGTCCGAGTTTCGCAGCCTTTCCTTCCGATCGGCCAATCAGGTAAATCCGAATGTGGTCACAACTTATACACATTTGGGCCTGACATCCAAGATGTGGTTCTCCTCCCTGTGGATCTCTCTTTATGACGTGCGGACAGGATCCTCAGAAAAACGACAAAACGCATCATAACTTTGCCTCCATCGGACATTTATCTTCTAACATAAATGTTGCCTTCCAACTGCCGCAAGGATTCGAACTTCCGATACCCCGTAGAAAACCTTCCTGCTTTACCACTGCGCCATGCCCGTGGGACAGATCCAAAAAAGTTTGCACCCATATGAATGTCTAACTTTATGCATACATAAATTTATGATTATGTGTGATATAGCGTACTATTTAAGGTTGTCTGTGTCTAAATTGGCATTCAATGGTGCCACGTGATTTTTTGGATTATCTTTCCAGCCGAGTAACCATTAAAAACTTGAGTGAGCAGTACTGTAAGAAAATACTTCTATAACCATTTTGAGATTCGTAACAAACTTGAATGACTCATTGTAAGATTAACTCGAGTAGTGAATGTCTAATAATCAAATAAATTGTTGATGTATACTTGTTTAAGTAGAAATAGTAAGCAACTCGATTAATATTAATCCCACTCACCTGTACCCACCCATGTACTCAAAAATGTGGAAGAACAACTTTTTAATTATGGTATGGTTTTATGCGGTATTGAATATGATTAAATAACGTCAAAAGAAAAATTTTACAATCATCTCTACTCTAATGTGCAGTCCAATGCTTATATTTTCATGGTTGGGTTTCCAATACTTTCACTTTCTTCCAGCATTTTAACTTGCTTAGTTAGATTATCTTTCATTACAAGAAAATCTTCAAGTTCTGCTCGATTATAGGAAGGAGGGAAGGTGCATGGAGATGAATCTGCTGGATTTTTCACCATTGAATCTATCGTAAATTTCTTCTTTAAACCTTCGACAGAACAGACCAGTGTCTCTGAGCACACTTCGGCAGCCCCTTTTGGTACAGTAGGTTTATATTTCAGAAGTTGAGAAGTAGTTGTTATATTCGAATGCAAAAATTAGAAATAGTTATTATATTCGTCAGGGTACGTTAATAACAAGTCATTTAAAACTCACCTTAAAATCAGTTCGTTACAAATATAAGGTTGGGGAATGGAAGGGACCCTTGTGTTCATTCTGCTTTTCCATAGCAGCTATTCTCTCGAGCTTTTGCGTGTTCAGATATGAAAACATACAGAATATCCTTTGGCATTCAAAGAGTAAACTTCATGACATCTGTGTAAGACTTCAATATCTAACATATAAACTAAAAAAATCCTCAAAGGTATACCCCAAAAACATGGAAATGAAAGATTACGAAGAAAAATTAACTAACTGAAATTTGTCTTTACATAATACATTAAACACATATGTATTATATTGTTTTCTTATCTTTTGAGTTCAGGGATGTGCAGGAGGTGTTGATTCAGTGGACGGTTCCTTCCTGTGAAAACTTCTTCCAATCATCAGTAGATCTCCTACTCGCCCAAACATTGTTTTCCTTCTTCTTTGAGAATTTCTATCTCTAATATCTAAATTATCAAAATCTTCCGAATTTGGTGTTCCTGTATTATCTGTGATGGAAGAAGAATACCCTCTTGGGTGAGTAGAAACCGATGATTTTGGCGTACGAAGCTCTGATCTTGGTGTTTCTGCAGAAGAATAAAAAATTGAGCCTTTTAAGGCCTCTGCCTTATTGGGATCTTCATATAAAAGTTTCTCATCCGAATTTTCATGCTCGTTCATGAACTTCAGATCTTCAAGTTTCTTTAAATTATTTTCCTTGTGTTCCCTATCCACGAACGTCCCATTCTTCTCCTTATCCTCAATCTTCGAATTTATTCTAAGGCCTTCATCTTCTGGGGTAAGAAAATTCAAGGCTTCATCCCTTTCAGAAAGACAATCTTTGAGTCGGGAATTTTCATCTCTAGCAATGTCTGCTGCTGCTTTTGCAGCATTGGCTTCATTAATAGCCTGCTTAAGTATATCCCTCAATTTGTTAGTTTCGTCCCGTGCTGCTTGTGCCATATCCTCGGCTGCCTTGAGGGACTCGGCAAGTCTTGCACTCTCACGTTTTGCAACAGCTGCTTCCTCCTCAGCTCTTATTATACAACTGACGAACCCCATTTCCTTCCCGTTCGAAGCCAAAATTGACTCCTCGGCTTCTAATCTCAGTCTATCCGCAGTATTCTTGTATAATTCTGCTTCTTGTTTAGCTTCATCTAAAAGCTTTTGATGCCTTTCATCCGTACTTCCCGCCATTTCCTTCAGTTTTTCTGCTGCTGCTTTAATTTGCTCAAGTTCCATTTGGGCATTAACAAGTTTCTCCTTTGTTTGATTGGCTTCTGCTGTAACTTCCTTCAATGCCAAAGCTAAATCTTCCATGGCATTCGTACTCCTCTCTTCTGCATCAATTGCCAACTTCAGTTCGTTTTTAAGCAATTCCATCTCTTCGAGTAGGCTCTTAACCTTCAATGAAGCTTTCTTTTCATCTTCTTGGGCACGAGCCAGATTCTCCTTTGTCAATCGCAGCTCAGCCTTTAGCCCTTCATTCTCTTCATCACTAAAATCAGCATTATTAAGATCTCTGCTATTTTGCTTAGACGAGTCTTGCAACAATTCAATTTTCTCACGAAGAGAAGTGGTTTCAAGCTTCAATTCTTCGAGAACAATCTCCGTCTGCTCATGCTGTTTAGTCTTGATTTCCATCAAATCAATCATTTTGGATTCCGATTGCTTGCCTCTCTCTACTTGGTCTTCTAATTCTCGAATCTTCTTCTCACCCTCAGACAACAACTCTGTTGCCTGCATATTTGACTCTCTCACACTACTAAACTCCTCCTTCAACTTATCTAAAGATGCATCTCTCTCTAACAAAGCGAACTCAAATTGCTTCGTCTTTCCAAGTTCCAACTCTAAAGACTTAATCTTATCATCTTTAACCTTCAATTCTTCATGTGAATTAGTTAGAATTTCTTTCAAACTCTTCAATTCCATCTTTAATTCCTCGACCTTACTACCTTCACTCAATCCAATACTCGCCTCGACAGCTTTTTCTTTTGCCTCTCTAAGTTCATCAAGGGCTTTATCTCTTTCTACCTCAGCAACTCCCAATTGTGCCCTAGTCCTGTGGAGCTCTGCCTCCAACTCCCCCTTCTGTTTCTCCATTGACATAGTCCGATTACTCAGTTTCTACATCAAAATGAGAACCACAAAATCCATCATCAAAATCAAACAAAAGCTAGAATTAAACAAACTAACATACGAATATAGATAAACCCATAAATCAAAAAGTTTTTATATACCTTGGAAGACTTTTTATCAGCAATTTTAAGGGCATTAGAATCAATTTGTGAGACCAAATCACCTCCCCTACAAAACTTTGAAGCAGAAAGGGTCCTAGACAACACCGATGTATAATGATTCTTCTGGCCAAAATCATTCGACCCAGATCTACAAAACCCATAAAATCACAAAAATTCAAATTCTAAACTCAAAAATTAAAGATAAATTTACATGCAACCATATGCATAACTAAAAAACGGGGAAGATGAACGTTAAAGCATGTAATCAATGAATAGAGTCCGATAAAATCTCTGCAACACAGAATATACCATGAAATTTTGATGGCCCAAAAAATATAGTCAGTGTACTCAGTACCTTGATTTGGAACGTAACATTGTATGGTGAATCTTGAACTATGGCTGTGATTCCTTCGGATAATCAGAAAATAAGTTTGGCGAAAATAAGCAGGGGAAAAAAAAAGTATAAGCAGATTTTTGTATTTTCGTTGAAAGCTAGGTTCATGACAAAGTCCGAAGTTGGCGGGTATTTGTTAGGCACGCAGCACGCTCCCGTAACGGCAAAAGTAAGCTGAGGGAGATTTAGAGAGAGAACGAAAGTAACTTCGAAACAAATTTCACTATTGTTCCTCAACTTATTGTCTTATTAACAAGTTAGTCCAAAACTTTTTATGAGGAAATTTGTCTACTAATATTATACCTCACTTCATATTATTAAGTACCAATTAGTGATGACAATGGAACAGCGCCCAATCAAGAATTTTCAAGAGATGACGAGACTGTAACTGAAAGTCTAAATTATCCTCATTCTAAGTCTCATTTTTCCATTTACTTTTTGCTTTATTTTTTATGAACATAAAAATAGAATAAAAATTAAGAGTTGGAACTAGTTCAAGACGAGTCCATTTTCTCCATCCTAGCTCCGTTGAGATTAAAACACAATAGGTCATAAGAATAGAGCATTCTATCATTCCTCATATCAAACTCAAGTTAAAAAGTAAAATCTAACTTTATAAAGTTGGACATACAATGATCACGTGAATATTTAACACATCATCAAGTGTTTTCATATAAAGCACATTTTGAAAGTTATTTATAATCAGTTTAAATTATAAATTGCTATAAATAAGTGATAAATAAGTATGTGATACTTGTAAATCCTACAAAATATACAGATAAAATTTAACTTGACTAATTATAAACAAATTATGAAAAGGTGCTGTGTGTAATAATAGTTAAAGATCGACAACTAACTTGTTAAATCTTTAACTATTAGATCGAGAAATAGATTAGGGGACTAAATATGAAAATTTTCCAAGAAAATTATACAAATCTTTTGGAGTTTGACACTGTCTAGGGGCCGGCAAACATGACCTAGGAAATTGCTTTGATAGGAAGTAAATGTTACTTTCTCCAACGTGAGCATTTGCTTAAAATTTCAAATTTGGACATTTTTTATATTAACCTAAAACGCTCACAAATGTCTTCCTTTACTTTTCTTCGTAATTTCGAAAGAAACGGTCTTCACCAATAGAAGTTTGCCTAATTATAAGTCAACAATAACATAAATAGAATACTATTCTTTATATGGTGCAGGTATTCAAATTGCCTCTCGACCTATTTGAAAAGTTCATTTAATTTTATTGTGTCATTCATTAGCAAATAAAATTATTTAATTGATGAGCTAAATTAATATATGAGATTCTCAAATAAAACTAACGAATTTACACGTTTCTATATATTATTCTTTCACAACAACATTATAGTTAAATTAAAAATTATACATGTATAACTATCGAGTTTACTTGAGCATTAGAGTGCTTTCAACGAACAACTCTAAAATCATTTCTGATGTATTATTTTGAGAAAAAAAATTATTAACCTTAATAGCTTATATTGGCCATTTTAGAGCTGTTTGTGTCAAAATAACGCTTGCGTAATCACATCTTTTCATCGAATTCTTCTAATTTCAAGATAATGATCAGTATGACAAGTTTGAATATTTCTATTTGATCATGTTGGACACAAATGGTTCGATGACGTTCTTCAAAAATTGCAACCGTAGACTCCAATTTTAGTCATTCACACTTGATTCACTGACTATAAATGTATATTTTTTAAACATTCGGGTCATCATACCTCAGTTTTTGGGACAATAGTTTTCTTTGGGATAACTTTCATACAATAATTTTATTAAAATTTAAGAGTTTTAACTAAGCCTAAAAAATTAATAATAAAAAAAAGGAATGAAGACATCTATCATATCAATAAAAAGCCCACAATGCTATGTCGAGAAAACTAAAATATGGGATATAGTAGGGGATCAATTTGAATCCTTTGAAGATGATGGAACGCCTGATATTGCAAATCTTTTTTCAGATAAACTAGAGATGAAGGCCATGTCATTCAATGATACTATTGATAGTATTATATAGAGCATGTTTGTGATTGATTTTGAGAATTAATTTTTTGACTGTTAGGAGAAAAGTGGGGTCCACTTGTGAGAGAAGAAGTCAAATATGACGTCTGGAATAGTGAAATAACAGTAAAAAAATCAATTTTTTGAGCCAAAACTCCCAAACAGGCCGATATATTGATGGTGATGATATAGCTGAAGAAATTTGAATTGTGAATTTACGAATTTTTTAGTTTGAGTATTGACCAATTATCAATAAGTGTTTTGACTTATGAGATAACAATGATTTTATGTCAAGATCTTAATTAAATTAGATAGGTTGTGAAATTTTTGTTATAATTTACATTATAGAGTTTTAGGAAGTTGAATATTGAATTTATTTAATTAAATTAATAATTTAAATATAACATTACAATAGCGCGTCATGCCATACTTTTTTCAATAATAACGGTTTCTCGTATCGTATCCTATCGTATAGTGTCCTATTTCATTTCCAATTTCCATTTCCGTGCAGCATAGCCTCTCTCCTACAACAAATGGTTGGACAATTTTAATTCCAATTTCTTAATTAAGCCCTGTGTATCCAAAGTATTTTATGTTCGTTACTAAAAAAAATCTTTTCTTTCGAACTGAAATTACAGATGCTCAATTTTCACCAACCAACAATTAGTGGCACTAAAGGAAATACAACATAGGTCCCTTAAACTGATTTACTTTATTTAAGTCAGTCCCAATACTGTCTACCTTAACTGGATATTTTCAAATCCATTCCATTTTCTTGCCAAACTATAATTCTTTTATTTCACAAATTTGGGTCAAACCAACAATCTCCATCTCGACCCAAATTGAATAATCACGACATGTCTCGACACTCATTTTTAAACCCCTTTATACTAGTCGTCTCTACTTTATTTAATTTTATAAATTGTGGAGATAATTTTATTTTATTTTTGAAATTCAATATCTTATCCCATTAGCTGAAATATAGTTTAGATAATGATAAGATTTTATCACTTTTAGATTAAAAATTCAATTGAATTAAAACTCTCAAAACATGATGGCCTCTATAAATGAGTATCAGTTTCCTTTAGAAGTGTCATATCTCCATCTTAATCGTGTTTATCTCTCTCTCTCTCTCTCTCTCTCTCTCTCTCTCTCTCTGTATATATTTATATTTTTTTTTTTTTTTTTATTTTTTATTTTTTTTTTTTTTTGCAATGGAAACAAATTTTATCCCCAATACTAGTAAATTCTATCTTTTTAATTGATAATTTTCATGTAAAACAAAGCCAAACGAACACCCAAAAACACTTTTATTTCAACAATTTTCACGTGAAAAATTATATCAATCAAACACAATAATTTACAATTCTCTAAAAATAATTTCTAGACAATTCAATTCTCTAAAATTCATTTTCTGTCCACCCAAATTTCATCTTTACAATCAAACAGACCTTAAGTGTTTGTACCTTGAAATTCAAGTTCCATTTCCACTTTTGTATTAAACAGTCAAAGTAAAAAACGAATTTATCGAATATAACATTTTCTATGGAACTCACTTCAATCAAACGAACCCTAAGTAAAGTTGGCAAGCCATGAGCTGACTCGGAGTCAACTAGTAGGGCGAGACGAGCTCATACTTGGAAGAACCCCGACGCAAATCTATATACTTTATATATGCCTTGACATTCAAAGTTCGAATCCACACGATGTCGCAAGAAAATAAAAAAAGGAAAAGTTTCATTCAGCTACCTGATTTTATTTTATATTACAAAGGACCCAAAAAAGATTTGAAACAACTACAAGAACCAGAATGAGTAAACTGTAAACCAATTAACCTAACTGCAAAGGGCACAGAGCAACAAAAACCGAGCTTCAACATCGTCCCACCGAGAAGAAAATATCCACAAAGAAAACGAATTTTGCACAAGAATTGAAGAGACTGTGTAATGAGAAGGGCTCGAAAAACCAAATTCAATTATTGCTAAAATTTCCCTGTATCGCCCTCTGATAACCAACTGCTATCATAAATCTTTTTGTCCACTTAGGTAATGATCTCGAAACCTATAATTACCATCAAACCAGCAACATAACTCAACAATATCGGTACTTTTCTACTAGTCATCATGAAAGTTGAAACATTCTGCAACTTTAAGGTGATTTGCAAGTCGTTTGATGGAAGGTTGCACGGCTTTGGAGAAGGAAGCCACTGAGTCAGGAAGTTCAGGTACACACACAGGCAAATACTGATCGCCACTTTCTCGTAAGCAAAATAAAGCAAGCACGGCACGGCAGAAAATGAATCTGGAGAGACATCATCAAAGAAGATGATCATTTATTAGATCAAGCCATCATGTGAATTCTTGCAATATGAAGCATTTCTAGGACTGAATAGACAATAAATTATCTGTGCATGATTATTTCATTGAAAACTCGTAAAACCGCGCTACTAGATTCTTTATAAATGGCATAAAAGTGAATCTATAACATATGAAGTGCGACCTGTTTATCATGCTCCATTTTTCGACTGAAAATGCTAGAAGTTGTTGGGGCATTCTTAGAATTTAGACATGAGAGTATGATGACGTCAATATGTAGCCAATTAATGGACCAAATATTATCCGCGTCTAAAACCAAGAAGTTTTATTGACATTATCCATAATTTTTCACTTTAAAGAGAGAGATGCGTAGTTCAAGTTTAACGTAATTTAGCACCTAGAAACTTAAAAATTCTCATTTGGACATCACATCATTTTCATTTTGACTATTTGTCTCTAGGAGTAATGAACTTATGATACAAGCAAAGTCCACATATCATCAGTGAAAAACTTGAGTTAGACGTGAATTTTCAATTATGGGCTCAATCATGTATCCGAGACCATTACATGAAGGCGATCAGGGACATGATATAAGTTACCTAAGAATAAGCCGCCGAAGAAATGGATCTGACAGAAGTTGGGCCCACACCAGATCCAGACTAGTTGAAGTACAGAGTATCACCTCCCATTCAGTGAAGGCGGCTGAGATAACACCCTGCGCATCTTTGTACATGTCCTGAAACAAAATCTATTAGCAAATAATACATAGTGACGTGGACATACCACTGAAGATGTCTATCATTTACAAAATTCACTCACCGCACCATCACTAGAAAAGTTGTAATCAACCAATTGGCAGAAAGCTTGTAAAGGAGCGGTTAAGAAAAATGTGAACTGACTTCCATTTCGTGCCATATCGTTCTCACTCCGGTTCTTGAATGAAGGCTTTGTAGGAGAAAGAAATAATGCAGCAGGTTCACCTCTTTCAGCTCCATGTAGAATCTGAGAGAGGTGTACAAATCAGCAATAAGCCAAAGGAACACTTTTTTACCCTTTAAGTGAAATGCCATATCTGAACTGACATTCAAGAGCAGAAACTTTCTGCTTCATAAACATTTTCAATAGCTTCATGGAAAATGTTAATGGATAACTTTACCGCCCGAGGATGTAAATAGATGAAAACAAAGGGCCTACTAATTACATTACTTGAGATAGGGAAAAAACAAGAGGTTCATATCAGCTAAAAATGCTCACAGGGTAAACCTGATAAGCAAGAACAGTTTTGGGTTTACCATTGGGCAGGGAATTAGTGTAGTTGAGATAATTTCTTTTTAGATGTAACTAGATACAGTGACAATTAAAAGTCATAATTTAACAAGGAAATCAAACATTTACATCAAGTACATGTTTTGGGAGCAGGAAGGAAGTATCAAACTACTACCCGAATCTTTTGGTTCACAAAGCATTCACTACCTCACGAGAAAAAACAGATAAATGACAATAATACGTTAAATAATTCTTGGAAGGTTAGCAAGACTCTGTACCACTGTTTTAAAAGAATTATGTGGAGGCTCCTAATTGGATGAGGCTCACACTTAGGGCTCTTCGAGTGCTCTTTTCACACCCAAGGAATGCGACTCATGACCAGGGTATATGCCACTTAGTTTCAATTTCAGAAGGTTGGTATTGACTTCATACTAGTCAACCTTTTGCTCTCTCACAAATAAGTCCCTATTTTCACGCTGAGAAAGTCATTCAGTTGTCAGAATTTTAGAAGGGAATAATAAACTCTAGTAACGCCTTTTCCTTTTGAACCAAACCTGTACAACAATAATAACAAGCTAAGCCTTGTTACCTATAAACTTGGAGTTGAGTGAATGAAATATTTTGCGCCGTTCTGTGTCAATCCGAAAGTCATATCTTTTGGAAATAAATTTTATCCTTTACAACACCTCAAACCATGCTAATTTTGTTCCAGTCCACTCTTTCATAGATTGTTCTAATAGAACTGCATAACGATTATGAATGGAAACTTCTTTACCTTTACACAGGACAAGTTCTAATCATCTAACTTGCCATTTCCCTAATGTATCCTCCGTATGTATTATCGCCAATTATTAGCATCCATCCTCAATTCTTGATTTATCCATTCAAGTGTGACCATCCATATCTCTTGATATCTTCATTTCTTCTAGAGAATTTTAGTTTTTAATGGCCCGATACTCAGTGTCATAAAGTATAGCCAACTAACTAGCCATTTTATATAACTTCTCTTTTAAGCTTTAAGTCACTAAGTTAGTATTATCTTTCAGTTACATAGAATCTTTATGACATTTCTCCATTTCATTCAACCCGCTGAGTCCCAAGCATTATATCCTCTTCAAATACTCCTTCCTCATTAATTACTGAAACTTAATATGCAACCTGAGCGGTGTTCTTTTCTGGATTTTCGGAAAACGTTCAGAAGTATGTAGTGGTTCAAAATTCAAAATATATGTGAGGAACCACCCTAGTGTTCATGAAATGAAACTACATTTACTCACTAAGAAAAAGGGTGGGAAAATGTGATAGAAGATGGTCAATGCACGACAGTCAAATTAACACATCATTATCATGGATTCAGAGCCACTTCTAGAGGACACAGCCAAGCATTAAGTCTAAAGCCTCGAAAAAGTTACTCTACCAAGTTTTGACAAACCTGCCTTGAATCCATGACTATTATCGCTATCTATTATCAAAAAAAGAGGTCTTCTCGTGAAAGGAATTATATCACACGGGTAGAATGTATTTGAACCTGCAAAACAAACATCAGTTGTAAGCGATGGTAACACCAACATTTATTGTGGAGATTAGTATCTCATAATAAGAATTAGAATAAATTAGGTTCCAATTATATATCCCTTACCTCCATTTCTGCATGGACCTAACCACAAATACTCCTCAAAATATTGACTTAAGTTTCCCTTAGGAGTAACATGATTTTCACACTGACATTTGTTCTGTTCGTGATGATTGAGGGATTTAGCATTGGGCTTAGAAAACTTTCTTGATACTCCAGAGCTTTCAATTTCCGAAGTACTAACACGACCAGAATTCCCTGCATCCATCATATCAGTAGTCAAGCGTCATATGCAGATGTCCAGCTTATTTCGAGTATTAAATTTAATTAAGTCAACCTGCAGCAGATAGGTATATTAATATAACACTCTCTGTAGGAAGTTCCTCACAAACGGTAGCAATCACCTGAAAATACATAAGCAACCAAGGAAACACAAGTAGTTAGAACTTAGGAAATTATTACAAGATGGGAAAGAATAAGCTCATTCTTTACATGTTTTAATATGCATAGTAAACTTTCTCTCAAGACCTATTTTAGGCAGAAATTAGGAAATAAAGAAGTAAATAATAATGCCAAAATTTTGAGCACTCACGGCCAATAACTGTGTCACAGATGGACGATAGAGAACAGCCTTTTTAGGATTTGGAGGCAAATTTGGATCCGTCATGCCTGCCACTAAATTTATATCGATCAATCCAGAAGTAACAGAATGATCAGTGTGAGTACGTGCTTCTGCTAATTCAACGGACTGTTTCTGATAGAAAGATCCACTAGGTTCCCATTCCAAACATTGCAGCATTCTGAAAGTGTCTAAAGTCAATTCTGCGAATTTGACCTGAAATGTCATATAGGGCGAATTTTCCATGGAGTTAATATAGCTCCATCAGAATCAATGCAATCATCTAAATGCCAAGTCAGTTACCTCATTTTTGTGATAGCTTGTCAGAACTGCATCTTGGAACTTTAGAAGTCTCTTGGCATGGAATTTGGAAACATAAGGGAGTGAGGTTGGATGTGAATCAAACATGGCACAATAACGTAAAGGCCTAACATGCGCTGTGGCTGTATCAGCTTTTGTAAATCGAAAAATTTCTTGCACCACCAGCCTCCATTCTTTGAAGTTGGTACCCTGGTCAAAATGGAAACCTATTGTTACGTTCTTAAGTCAAATTACATACCCAGGACAAAATGAGAATTTGAAATAACTAAGGAAATGAGAAAAAACAAATTAAATGAATTCCCATTGTTTCATAATAACCACCCACCTAGAGCATGATGTGATTCTGTGATACTTGCCATAGGCTTTTAATTTCAGTTCACGGTTACACGTGACAAATAAAAATTGGCGATAACACTTGATCAAAGAATAATGGGAGGATATTTCAGATTACAAGGAGCTGTGTACAAAGTGTGCAGAGACCATCGCAAGAAAATTGTGTGACAGTTGTACGCTAAAGTGAATTCAAATATTAGTCTGATCTCGCATATTGAATTCAGTTTAATCTACAGAGACGAAGAAATTACAAATCTAGACATAACCTTGCAATCCATGATAAGAATCATCAGTCAATATATCATTTTCTTCATTTCGATCCACAATTACTTTTAATGATATTATCACTGTTTTTAAAAGCAGGTAATGACTTATTGATTGAATATTTTGATCACATTTACTTTTAACGATATTATCACTGTTTTTAAAAGCGGGTAATGACTTATTGATCGAATATTTCTTCTCTTTTCTATTTATATTTCTTATTATGTTTTACATCATTAACGTAATCCAATATACACGTGACCCTAAAAAGCAGAGTATAATTGCATAATCATCACAGCATTTGCCTTAGTCCTCAAGTGCCACTCGTCATAGACCTTTTATACCATATTCAGTGATTATCATTGCCATTTCGTTTATTCTTGAGATTTAACTAACTTTTAATGCTCTCATTTCCAATCAAACTTCAAAGCTCAATGTGTTAGAAACAAAAGAGAATCGACGTTATTCACAAATAGTTGTAATGATTTGAAATCATTAAAGTGGATTAAAGAGAGATAGAAACTTCAAATCCATAAGAATAAACAATAAATAGGTAATCTCTTGTACAAAGATGAAAGAAACAATAATCATTGCGATTCTTTCGATTCTTTGGTTCAATGAGCGCAAAGAATTCAACGTCGACCGTCTCCAATATTCAGGGAGTGACTGCAAGTAGGAAAAAGACATCAATAGGATTTGGAGACTTTTGCACGCACATTGACATTGTCCACTTCTAAAGTCAGCATGAATAAGCAAAGATAAACAGCAATTCGACAAAACATCATAAAACATGCTAAATTTATGAGATTTGGAGATTCTCTCGTGCAAATAGATATTTTGCAATTTTTGATGTAAGCATGGACAATGAATGAGCAAAAGATAGCAAATCGACAAAACATCATAAAACAAACTAAATTTATCCGATTTTTAAGCCAAGTAAATACTTGTCGATGTTTTCTAATTTCAAACATTATATCACATCAGCCACATATTTACTAGAATTTGAATCTCAAGTAAAAATTCAACCAATCATCATAGTTAAAAAAGTACTAGCAATTCGTACCCGAAATTTGGCCTTACTATCCTCGACCAGATCCTTAAACTTTTCGACAAGCAACTTCACCGTCTCCGCACGGTTCAAAATCAACGAAACCATCAAAAACCTCGCGTAAAACCTCAACTCCTTGAATCTAACCCCACGATCCTCACTCGAACCTTCAAAATAATTCCTTTTAATTATAGCTTCGTAAAATATATACGCTTCGAGCAGGAAACGGGCTTCACTAGTCCTCAAGTACTGGTTAAAATAAAGCTGGCCAATTCGGGATGCGATCTCCCCAATTTCCCAGCGCTGCAGGCCCGAATTAACCAATTTAGCCCTATTCTCCTGCTGATACTTCCAGAGCCGCATGTAAGCCTTGAATACCTTATGGAAGAAGTGCCCATTTTGCTGGCTGCTTCCCCCGCCGTACGGATGCAGCGGCACGTCACGTACACGCGCGAATTTCCGTTCAGCAGTCTCCACCAGAGTGCGAAACGTCGTCGTAACTATATTATCCTCCTTTGACATATTGAAACGAACCCAAAAAAAACCTCAACCCAGTTGATTTTTCATCCGGTTTATCGTTTTACTTGGTCCTAGCTGGGTGCCCAGTTGCTGTAAATTGCAAATTAATCTGTCAACGGAAGGCGAATAAAAATATGGGTTTTAAGGGGCGTGAAGAGTGAGCTGGGAAATTGAGGAAAATATTCTTTTTTGTTTGTTTTTGTATTCGAGTTTAACAACGGCGGCAGTGCATAGGGGACTGGGGCGGAGGCGACATAATTGGATTTGATTTTGGGCAACGTGCGAGGTGGTGGGCGACTGAGTACCGTTGTTTTTTAGGCTGTGACCTGAAATGACAGTGCAATTCCGGTGTGTGTTTTGTGTGTGAAAGTGAGAGAGAGGAGAGCGAATGTGAGTGTGTGAATAACACGTCATGCGTGGGTTTTATAACATTCGAGCTGGCATTGGAGCCGCCCCCACGTGTTGAAGTAGGAGAGAGAGGGGAAAAAAATGTTGATTTGGGAAATTTACTAATTGTGATTTAAGAATTGTTTAATATTGTTTCTGCGTGATAATGTCTAATTTTAAAGAGAAAATTGGACATTCGTCTTCCACCTTGACGCAGCATTGCTATGTCAAGTTTACATGTTTTGCAAAAAGTTTTCTTTTGTTCAGTTTCAATAAAGGGAAAATTGGAAAATTGTACATTCCTTTTCGACTTTTATATAGCATTGTTATGTCAAGTTCATGCGTATTGCAAAAAGTTTTCCGTTTAGTTTCAGTATGAGAAGAGGATTCTCTCATGCATCATCGTTGCATGGATAAATTATTATAGGTTTTCATAAGTTTCTCGGTTGTTGCATTATTCATTGGCCCAAACCTTCTCGGTTGTTGCATTATTCATTGGCCCTAACCTTCTCCTTCATTCTCCACCACCTCTATGTTGACCAATCATACAACATCCATGGTTCCAATAATTCGTGTGCCGTTTTCGTTTTATTTTTATGTTTTTGTTGGTAATAAAGATTAAATGATGAACTGTTATACCTACTTATCTTAAAAAAGAACTAGAGATATCCAAATACATTTTCCTATGTCAGATTAAATCCCCTCTCTTTTACATGCACAAATGCAGCATTGCTCCGTCAAGCTTTCATATATTGCAGAAAGTTTCTCATTATTGAATCCCATAGAAGTCTAAAAACATGTTCCTGGCGAAGATTACCCTCTCAAGTATGATCATTGCATTAATAAATTATTTCCCTCACATGACTATCTAAATAGAAGCAAGACCCTCTCTAGGCAGATTGCGCCTTTTGATCAACAATCAAGGCTCTCGATTGAATGGTAAGAGCAACTTTTAATTTTGTATGATCTCAAACAAAATAATTGAAAATTATAGTCACAGAATTAATCGTTTTAGAAAGGAAGTGTCTAATTCTCCATCAAAGCATCATACGATTATCACCAAAACATGTCCAACATTAAGTCCCTGTTTGGTACAAATTCAAATTCAAATTTTAATTTAAGTCAAAATCAATAATTAATTTTAACCACACAATTTATGAGATTTTTGTTCTGTTTGTATTGCTTTATTAATAGGAATATGTATTTATGGATTATTCTTAAATTTAAGTATACATAAATTTTATAAACTTAGCCCTTGTTTGATTCCATTTTTGGGAGAAATAATGCATTTTGAATAGTAGATTGATGGAGAATATGTAGTTAAAAATACAAATAAAAAGTTTTGAATTTGCGTGTAATATTATATTGTTGAAGATTATGTGATTGAAAATAAATTTTGAAAAAACAAATTTTTAGAAGAATAAGAATCAAACAAGGGCTAAAATAATACTTGCAGTTTGTAGTTTAAAAAATTGTAACTTACTATTTTACATTATGTTCAATAGATTGCAGCTTAGCTCTCCAATTAACTTGGTCTATTGCGTCAATTTTTTTCCTTATTTTATTTGAAGAATACCCAGCATTCTTTAAAACTTTATGGGAGGGGGAGGAGGAGGAGGAGGAGGGCGGGGGTTGGTAGCTTATTCTAGACAAAAAATAAAAAATAAAAAATAAAATAAAATAAAATAAGAAATAAATAAATAAATAAATAAATAATAAATCTTGCTCATGGACTACTACTAATATAAATGGTTACTTTATAAAATTAAAAAATAATAATAATATTACAACGCTGAGTCAATTGAACAAGATAACTCGTGAGGTAGTTGGAATAATTAAAAACTTTGTATCTGGGATAAATTACACCTCATAATAATACCATTAACTAGCTCATCAAATATTATACAAGAATAAGAATTACATGTTTTTCACAATAGAAAGAGAGTAATATATAGAATATATTTTTCTACTTTTGACATTTTCAATTTTTTGTTATAAACGTCAGTGAAAGATTCCCACTTACTTAAATCTTAATTTGGCTATTAGGCTTTATAACAGCTGATCAATTTCAAAGTCAAAGATTCAACTTATTTTTATTCAATTTTGGTTGCTTAGCGTACATTATTTGAAACTATTGGTTTCTATCATCTTTTCCAAGGGAATAAAGTTTTGATTTCATTTACTTTTTCTTTTTCTCTCATCCTAAGGTCCCAAAGCTTAGATTTAAAAGAAAATTATAATCAATAAAATATAATTTCCTTCATTTTTATTTTGTTTTTTACTTTTTGGCTTTTCCATCATAATGAAATCAGCAACAAAAAAAATGATCACTTTTCAAAATTTAGGAAGGGTAATTGGGCAGGTTTAGGTGGCCCTTAAAGGATTTTTGGGAGGTAGGAACGAGGATTAAATATTTCAATTTTTACCCTGTTTACTTTAAATATGATTTATTTTTAAAAAAATAGAGGAAATAAAAAATAAGAGTCGTAATGGAGCATGACATTTTTTCATTCCTACCGAAGCTTTCGAACGAAAATTTTAAGGATAAATTATGAAAAATTAAAAACAAAAGTTCTTCATCTTTTTCGAACAAAAACAAAAAAAATCAAACCTACTCCGTGGGGTGGGGTCATGGACTTTATTTAACCTAATACTCAATCTTCTATTACTTTAATATTAAAGACTTCTTTCACTTTAATACTTCAAGACATATGTACTCAATCTCGATTTGGGTCGAAATCTTATCGATTATGTAACAATTTACAAGTTAAATCTTTTGTCCAAAATAAATTAAATTTGTAAAGAAAGACGTATTGAAAATTAGAATACAAATAAATTACTTCAGTTTTCTTCAACTTAAAATTTTAACTTATTAGATTAATTGGTTTAATCTAAAATGACACTAAACAAAAGTACTTTTGGGCCCAAATCTATTGTGATGATAAACGGCTCGTCTCGTCTTGATCTTCTCTTGAATTCTTAGAGCTTCCGTCGTTCCATCCCCGCGGGAGCAGAGAACCCGTCGCTATTTCGAATGTGCTACCAATTAATTATGAAACAATTTACTTGTTAATTTTGTTGTGAATTAAATTCAATTCGCAAAGAGGAACGTGTTGAAAATATAAATAAATTACTTCAAGGACTTAATCTTTTAACTTATTATATTAATTAGTTTAATCTTAAGTGAAACATAATGCTTTTGCATCGAAATCTCATCGTATATGAGACAATTTGTGTTAAAGCTGTTGTGAAAAATACAATTCGATCTTGGCATAAATAAATCACTTCATTTTTCATAAAAGAATTTACACAATATCCTTCTACTTTTAAAAGAATATTTTAACAAATAACTATGCATCAATAAGCTAACCTCACCATATATTATAAATAATTTGCAATTGTCTGCTTAACTGGTGACCATCTCACCTAATCACCTGAATAATTGCTTAATTTCAAATATAATTGCTTAATAATTTATGTGTTGTCCCCATACCTCTATGATTTGACTCATCATGAAAAATTATTTTCATATCATTTATGAATCCTTTATTGTAAAATGCTATTCTATGTGGAGTATAAAATACAACCTATTTATTTTCCCTACCTACATTAATAATGACATTCTAATTTAATACAGAAAATGATGGAACCTACCTACATACAAAGAAATATCTAGTACTTTGCAACATTCTATTATTTATTCTACTTTCTTGTGACAATAAAAAAAGGAAGAAAAACAATTATCTAAGAATCCGTTTGGTATGATTTCTACTTTTTGCATTTTGTAAAAGTGTTTTCTGAGAAATTTAACTTAATTAGTGTTTGAAAACTAATTTTTAAAAGAGTTTTCTTTTCCAAGAGAAATTTTAGAGTAAGTCATACTAACTCAACTTTCTCGAAAAGTTCTTCAAATCAAAATAAGCGCTTTTTATAAAATTAACCAAACGAGTTGAATGACCAACTTTTCTTTTGGATTTCAAAAGTCATATCGGATAAATTCTAATTCGTCACGCCAATACAGTTGATACAGTCGTAACAAATCCTCTACACGTCACACTATTACACAGCCCTACATATTGATATATTCGTATCTATCACGGACGACATAAATTTATAATCTACAATTATTCAAAATAAATCCGAAAATTAAATGTAGCCTGCCCATTATTGATGTTTCTACTATTATCGGATGCCTTGAATAATGCATGTTCTTTTTTAATGTTTGACTTCGTAAACTATAGCGAGTGCGTGTGTGTGTGTCTGAACGTGATTGACATTTTTATTATTGAGTCCCCATTCATTTGCAAAAAATTCCACACCCTTGTGTCCCTTTCATAATAATTCACCATTTAATAGTACCTTCGAGATATGCCGTATGAGGTGGAAATTCATATCGAGTAGAAGTTTTTCATAGTCGATCCAATAAAATGTTTATACGATTGAAATGAGTTCTAAAATTTGATAATATAAATGAGTCGATTCAAGAATATAGTTATATAAGTGACAGCAGGGACGGATTCAGGACCGGACAATAAAATTTCAAATTGAGCTACTACGTGGAAAAAAAATTACACATAAAAAACTGATTTTTTACCAAAATAAAAAATAAAAAATACTTTTAAAAAAAAGTTGTTGGCCTGGGGGGACTACAGTCATGTCCTGCCCCCCAAATCCGTCCCTGACTAACAGTAAATTTCGATGAGAATTAATGTAATTATCTAATCTCATGGTTACATTAGCTAACTAACAAAATGTTAACGCCAACGCAAGAAAAAAAAATTGCTAAAAAGTCAACGGTCGTCTAACATGGTTGTATAACTGAAATCAGATTCAAAGTTAAGTAAATGAAAAGATTCAAAATTCAGTAGGATAAATGACACTAATCCCAGCTTGTAACTCTTAACTTCCTCCCTTTTTATTGAAGATTTGAAGTGGTATATTGAATACTTGACCACTCATTTCGGAAATGTAAAAAAGAGGCCGGTATATATCAAGTTTCAACCTCTTTTTAATTCTTTTTT